GCTCTGTGCACAGAATAGATAGGGACAGGCAACTTAGGCATTGGCTATCTAAAATGAGGGGGCAATAAAGACACAAAATGACTGGCTTACAAGGTTTCAAGAAGGAGCTTGGTTTTAAGAGTGTGGGGGGAAAGAAAGAGTCCCCACTGAATAGCTATCATCTTCTCTGGTGAAAGGAGATGGGGATAAGATTCGTGAGGTTCCATAGTGAATAACTGTTATCATGACTAATTGAGACTGTCACACTTGTAAAGGTACAGGTTTTGTAGCAAAAAAAAGGGGAGTAGTTAATCTTGCAGTCCAGAAACAGATGACCCTAGAACCATCAAGAGAAGAACGCACAAATAGAATGCTGGACCTTATCCAGAGAAGCAGCAGCGCAGAGATGGAGGCAGAGATGGGGGCATAGAGAGTGGGAGCAGCTGAGGACTCTAGATTCATCAACTAAGGAGAGAAGGACTAAGAACTGGTGGCCAGGAGCAGACTTGCAGAATGTCCCCTATGGAGATGTAAATTATTATATATGCCTGAGTGGGTTTTTTTGTTTGTGTGTTTTTTAAAAAGCTAAAGTGGTTAGAGAGAAATACTTTTAACTGATGGCATATTGGGGGGGGGATTATAATCAATGTAATTAAACAAATTATATGAATTGTTGAATGTGAAACTGATGATGCGTCCTGTAAACTTTCATTCAATACACAATAAAAACCTTAAAGTAAAAAAAAAAAAAAAAAGTGAATGTCTAGACATAAAGGCAGAAATATAATAAGAAGAATGTTAAATGTTATAGACATAACAATTAGTATATTATGATTACTTAAGAAAACACTTTTTGGTTTTATTACAACTAAAAAAACAGAAGAGGAGTACACCAAAGTAGTGATATTTCCCCCTTTATTACTATTTAACTGCTCGTTTGGGGTATTGCTGCCATGGTTAATCTTTCCATAGATTCCACATTTGGTGGTCAATGTTTTTTCTCTTTCAATTCCATTTAATCTATTTTATGATTTGAATTCAACCATCTTTCCAAAGGACCTGTAGTAACATCAGTGGGGTCACTAGGAGAGTGCAAGGGGTATGGACCACACCAAGGGACACCGAAATGACTGTCTATAAATTTTTTGCTATAAATTTTAAATAGAAATTTATTACTTACATATTGTTTTTAATAAAAATATCCCTGTAGCTAGCTATAGGAATCCTGGTGTGGTGCTGTGGGATAAGCACTGGACTTCTAACTGTAAGGCTGGTAGTTCAAACCCACTAGCCACTTCTT